CTTTTAAGAGAATGTAGTGGGAAACCATGGCAAAGGCCTTCTTAAAGTCCAACAAGATGACATCCACCCCAACACCCTTGTTCAGGGACTTTGTGACCTGATCACAAAAAGAAACCAGGTTAGTCAGGCAGGATCTGCCCTCAATGAACCTATGTTGGTTGCCCCTGAGCATTACCTTCCCTGCTGGAGATGTGCTCCTTGATAATTCTCAAAGGTCTTCCCAAGGACCGAGGTAAGACTGACTGGCCTATAATTGCCAGGGTCCTCTTTTCTCCACTTCTTGTAAATGGGGACCACATTGGCTCTTTTCCAATCCTCTGGTACCTGGCCAGTGTCCCACAAGTGTTCATAGATCTGTGCCAGGTGCCTCACTATGACCCCTGCCAATTCCCTCAGCACCCTGGGGTGAAGATCATCTGGACCTACTGATTTAAACATGTCCAGCCCCTCCAAAAGTTCCCTAACTAGGTTGTCCCTGATCCTAGGCATGGCAGTGCCTCCCCAGGGGCCATCTGCAATTCTAGTGGGAGAGGTGTCCTGGTCCCTGTTCAGGAATATGGAGGCAAAGAATTCATTAAAGAGGTCAGCTTTTTCTTTTGCCACAATCATCATATTGCCAACCCTATCCTGTAGGGGCCCCATGTTACCTGGTGCCTTCTTCTTACTTCCTATGTATTTGAAAAAGGACTTTTTACTATCCTTAATTCTGATCACTAGCCCTAACTCCGTCTCTGCCTTGGCCTTCCTAACAGTCTCCCTGCAGTCTTGAGCAACCGAGGTGTAATCCTCCTTCATGATAGTCTCTCGCTTCCACTGTTTGTATGCCTCCTTTTTTGCCCTCAGGCATTCCTGGATGCCTTTGCCAAGCCATGGGGGCCTCTTAGCACTTCTACCCCTCCTTGGCGCACATTGATGCTGACTCCCTTTGAGCTCAGAGGATCGTCTCCTTGAACAACCACCTGTCTTGAACTCCCATCTCATTGAAGCTCCAAGACCCCAGTGCCTCTCCTACTAACCTCCTTAGCTTACAGAAGTCATCCCTTCTGAAGTCAAGGACCTCTGCTTTGCTGCTTGCTTTCATCACACTGTGCTCAACAGTAAATTCCAGCAAGCGATGATCACTGTCACCCAGGTGGTCGAGTACCCGCAGACCCCTCACCAGGTTATCGCCTGTAGCAAGGACCAAGTCCAGCAAGGCATTTCCCCTGGTGGGACTATGCACCTCCTGGGTTAGGTGGAGGTCCTGTATCCCCATTAGCAACTTATGTGAGTGGTCGGACCTGGCTGACTGCTCCTCCCAGCAGATTTCTGGGTAGTTTGGGTCACCCATGACAACCACATCCCTTGATTTTACTGCCTCTGTGAGCTGACCTGAGAATTCCAGGTCCAGCTCATCCCCCTAGTGAGGCAGTTTGTAGGAGACATCCACTATCAAGTCCCTTTCCCCATGCCCCCCTTGCATTCTTACCCAGAGCACCTTACTTTGCCCCTCCTCTGACCCCATCCTGGTCACTGAGGACATGTATTGCTCTTTGACGTATAGCGCTATAACCCCTGCCCTTTTCCCTGCTCTGTCTTGCCTGCGCAGCCTGTATCTTTCAATGTCCACTGCCTAGTCATGGGTAGAATCCCACCAGGTTTCCATGAGCCCCACTAGGGCTGGGTTTTTGCTAGCTAGCAGGAGGACAAGTTCCTCCTGCTTATTCCCCATGCTTTGAACACATCTTTTGACACATCTATTGTATATTTGTACTGTATATTTGTATTATATGTCAAATTAGTAAGGTTTTTTCTTTTCTCCCACATCAATATTTAACTGTTATTGTTATCTCATTCTTTCTTTGAGCTGCTGTTTCATTTCCATCAGTTGGCCCTTTCTGTACTATCCCTTCAAAATCTGAAAGGAACAAGGTCTATTTTAAGGTAGTATCTGCACCCATCCTTCTTCTGTGTTTTATCTGTGCAACTCTCAGTCTTTAGAATATTGTTACTCATAACTTTGTGGTTTGTAGCCTACTGCTCAGGACACCCACTTAGGAGAAGGTAGACCTGGCTTCCAGCCCTTGCTTTAAGTATTTATGTATGTTTTAAGTATTTTATGTTTATGTATCTTACATAAAAAAATTATTAAATAATGAGCAGAGAATGGATCCCAGTCTTTCAAATTACAGTCTAATACTTCAACCCCTTGACCTACCTTTCGCTAGCAATGAATAGACATCAGGAGAAGTCAACACATGAAAAAGCCACTTTCTTCTGTGTTACTACAGCCACCCTAGAATTTAAATTTTGAAAACTGAAATTATTTATTTTCACCCTGTTGCTATACCCACAGAAGTTAGACTTCATAGCTAAACTTAAGATCATTTTACTAGTGGTGTCTTGGGGAGAATGTGAAACTTTTTGGTTCTGATTGATGTTATGAAACTATTAATTTTCAATGCTTTGGCATCAGACCCAAGCTCAGAAGTAAATGCCCTATTCCATATCTGTTCCTGTCTTTGAAAGTGAGATGATGATACCATTACTTACACTGGGTAAAGTATTACCCCTTGGTAGTAGCCCCATTGGTGTAATCTTTGGGACAACTGTCTCACCAGAAATATTTCTTTCACAAGACCCAGAACTTACACCAAAACAAATCCTATCAATTCGTGCTCACTTATGGTTGAAGTGGGCCAATTCCAGATACGGAATTATTGGCTTATTTATCTGTGGATAAATAAGCGGTGTTAAAGAGCAGTTAAGTCAGAGGAAAAGCCACTGATTAGCACTGATTGAATCTGTAGAAGATTCAAACAAACCAAAATGGCTCTTCATGGAATGAGTGGTACTTCCTCCCCCACCCCCAGAATAGAAGAACAGAGAAGAACAAAACTTAATTTGTTTCCATTTTGTTTTCTTTTCCAGGTACCTCCATCATCTACCCTTCTTGATGTAAAACATAAATTTCACAAAACATGTAAGTACACTGTAGCACAGGCTTGAGGCATGGCTAGAGGCCTTTCTGCTTGGGAAAATGTGTCTGATTCATTTTTTATGAAGTTTCACACAAAATCTTAGAGTCACTAACAGCTCCAGCATTCAGTTAGAGCATATTTGGGAACAAGAATGGCACTCTGGAAATGTAGCTATTGTGGGTTCTTTGGGGATGATATGTGATAACTCAAACTCCCCCTAAAAAGTGGGGAGACCTTCTCATTTCTATTGTTAACATTCTAGTAACCAGTAGAGGACATAACTAACTCAAATCTTGTGTTCTGTGCTGCATTAGCAGCTAGGGTAAAGGTACAAATAGATGTAGCCAAATGAAGCAGGTAACCTGTGCCAAGATGTGTCCCAACACAGCTGATCATCTTTATTGGGTGAAATACATGTCACCCATTGATCTTGTCTCCACTTGCAGAAACACACCTCAGGGAATCTCTGGGTATGTCTCTGTAAATGGAGAAATCCAGGGTTCTCTGCTTACAGAGATGTTTCCCAGGGAATCTCCAGGGTGCATCTCTGTGAGGGGAAAGCCGGGCAGGTGCTCCCAGGGCATGAGGGGGCCAATCTAAGGCAGGATTTCCTTGTGCATGAAGAATTGGGACCCTCAAACTCTGGGAGCACCTGTTCAGGGTGGAGCACCTCTTCTGGACTTCCTGTACTCTCATGCCTAAAACAAACACAACTGACTCAATAAAATCAATGATCAATGATTTGGATGTGAGGGTGAAAAGTTCACTGGCCAAGTTGGCGGATGACATCAAGTTATGGGGGTGCGTGGTCATGCCAGGATATAGGTTGCAAATACAGGCTGACCTGGACAAACTGGAGAGCTGAGTGGGCTGGAACCAGATGAAGTTCAACACTCAGAAGTCCAAGGTGCATCATCTAGGGGCAAACAATCCCCAACATACCTACAGGCTCAGTGGCGACAATTTGACTTGCACCATGGCTGAAAAGGTGCAGGTGATAGGGGTAGTGATTAACCATCACATGAACATGAGCTGGCAGTGTGATGCTGTGGTCAGCAGGGAAAACAACATGCTGGCACGCATTAACCATTGCATCTCATGCAAAACTAAAAAAGTGATACTCCCCCTGTACTCCACACTGGTGAGACTGCAGCCAGAGTACTATATCCAGTTCTGGGTGCCACAAGAATGTGGAAAAACTTGAGAGGGTCCAGATGAGAGTCACCCGTATGATCAGAGACTTGCAAGGCAAGTCATACGAGGACAGGCTGAGGGACTTGGGCCTCTTCAGTCTACAGAAGAGAAGGCTGATAGGGGACTTGGGAGAAGCTTACCACTACATCCAGGGGGTACATCAAGAACTCGGTGAACAGCTGTTCACCAGGGCACCCCTGAGGAAGACCAGAGCAATGGATACAAACTCCTGGAAGGCTGCTTCAGGCTCAATACCAGGAAAAACTCCTTTGCAGTCAGGGTGTCCAGAATGTGTAATAAACTCCCTCCAGTGGTGATGCAATCGCCTACCCCAGAAATCTTCAACAGGAGACTGGACAGTCACCTCACTGGGGTCACTTGTCCCCAGTTGTCTTTTTCTGCCTAGTGCCCGATGATCTACAAGGTCTCTTCCAGCCCCTAAAAATATATGAATCTATGAATCTATAAAACAGTATATCTTTTTGCCATCTATGTCATGGCCACAGATTTTGAGCATTTGTGGTGCAGTAAGAGACACAGAGGTCTGCTTGCTTGGCCTTTGTGCCACTATAAAAATGCTTATTATGGCAAAAAGATTATTTTTATTGATACTCTAAGATCATATAAAGCTTTTAGGAACCTCAATGCAAGAGAGAAACCCAAAAACCTCTTACCACTTAGGTACATTAGACACTACAGGTACCTATATTTTTTTTAGGTAACTTTGTTAGCTGCCTAAAATTCTGTTACTGCACATGCTCAAAATTGCTGCTATCTTTGCTTGCTTGAACAACTCTACCTTTATGTCTGGCTGGCTTTACTTAGATATCTGAGGTGCCAAAGTGAGAACTGCCTTTGACCTTTAAATCTACTTAGAAAATGGCCAAAATCTGGGGGAGAGATGGGATTTCAGACAAACCTTTCTATTTGGCATTGTAGCCTGTGATAAGCATCCCCTCTCTTTTGGTTCCCACCTCTATGTGCCAGTTGCTGTGAATGGACTACTTGTAGGCACCTGGCTCTCTCCATTAAGGAGAGAGTGCCTACATTTCTAGGTAAATTTCTAGGTAAAAGGAAATTACGTTGTGATTGTGAATTCCACTCCTAACAGCCAAACCTTCTGTGGATCTGGGCCAGAGTGACTGCCTCAAAGAAAGTGTATCTTAAATGTACAAGAGTAACAAATGCAGTTGCTTTGGTACGGTAAAGTACTTGCTTGATATATTTTTGAATGGATTGCATGATATATTTCTATATATATATACACCTCATACCTCATCTACCAGAGGATTGTATATAATCAAGGAAGGGTTTCCTTTCAATCCTATACCACATGGTCATCTGTTCCTAGTTCAGATCCTAAGCTCTGTTTATGTATCTACCATGGTGCTGTAAAAGTTGCAAAATATTTGTCACCTGATTCTCTTGATTGTGAGACTGCAGAGAAATGCAACATGGATCCTCATTTTTTCAGTTGAGCTGATGAGTCAAAACTGGGGGGCATTCTTTTAAAGTGAATGTTTTGTGCTGCAGCAATCTATTTATTATTTTTTTAACCACACTTGGATTAGATAAAGGCATTCTAGGAGAGGAAAATCTACCTTATATATATTTTTAATGATGAGGGTTTTCCATTAGAAAAGACATCTACCTTTGGAATAAACTATCAAGGGCAGCAAAAGATTTGACATTTCTTAATGTTACAGTCAAGTGCCTTTCTGAGAATTATGATTTTATTTAGACACAAGAATTGGGTTCAGCGGAGGGGTAGTGGTGAAACACCATATCTTGTGTTAAACAGGTCAGACCATGTGATGTAATGGTTCCTTTGGGCTGCATGATTTTGTGAATCTTAGGGCTAATTTGGATTCTGCATATTTTCAGGTCTTTTCTTCAGGTGTGGACTCTCTTAAATCAACTTCAATGCTAGCTAAATAAATAATATGTAAAGTATCCGTTCAGGACTTCCCAATTTTTCAACTGTAACTGGATATTATATCATTGCTCATCAGAGTGGTATAAGTTTGCATAACCAGCCTAATTGCACCTGTCCTTACATTTTAAAAGCATCTTTCTTTTTAAATCAACCCAGTGGCTTTGGCAGAACTGTATATAAAGTAATTTAAAGCTTAACTTAAAGCTTAATCAAACGGTGACTGTTCACCCAACAAGAGGCCCAGGTAATACAGGGAAGACTACAGACTACATGAAATCAGTCCTGAGCAGGTAAGGGATCTCCTACAACACCTGGATGTTTTCAAGTCTGCTGTGCCAGATGATGTGCATCCAAAAGTTCTGAAAGAACTGTCTAAAATTATAGCAGTGCCACTGGCAAAGTTGTTCGAAGAGTCGTGGAATTCGAGAGTGGTCCCAGCTGACTAGAAGAGGGCCAATGTGGTTCCAATTTTTAAGAAAGGGAAGAAGTATGACCCAGCAAACTACAGACCAGTCAGTCTGACTTCAGTCCTGGGTAAAACTTTTGAAAACATTGTTAAGGAGGCCATCAGTTACAAGCTGGTAACTGATGGGGTATTAATAAGCAACCAGTACAGCTTTGTCAATGGTAGATAGTGCCTGAAAACTTGCTATCCTTCTATGACAAGGTAACTAACCACCTGGATGAGGGACACAAGGTTAATGTCATTTACTTAGACGTCAGTAAACCCTTTGATTCTGTTTCCAACATGATTCTCTCAACCAGACTCGAGGGTACCGGTCTGGATCAGTGAGATGGGTGGGTAACTGGCTTAGAGACCAATCCCAGAGAGTTGTACTCGATGGGATGACCTCATTTTGGAGAGCCATCTCCAGTGGTGTCCCCCAGTGATTGGTGCTTGAACCCATGCTCTTTAACATATTTATGAATGACTTGGATGAGGGGGTGGAAATCTCAGTGATGAAGTTTGTGGATGATACCAAGCTGTAGGGAAAAGCAGATACATCAGAAGATAAGGTAAGGATCCAGGACGACCTTGACAGCCTGGTTTTATGGGCAGAACAGAATCAGATGAGGTTTAACAGAGAGAAGTGCAGGGCTCTTCATCTGGGTGGGAAGAATCTTCACCATAACTACACGATGGGTGGTGATCCACTGGCTGGCACAGCTTCTGAACAAGACTTGGGGGCCACGATCTACCAAAAGATAAACAAGAACCAACATTGCAATGAGGTTGCCAGAGGGCAAATAGAAGATTGGTGTATAGCAGCCAATGTGTGGCCAATAGATCCAGAGAGGTGCTCCTCTCTCTCTATTCAGCATTGGTGAGGCCACAGCTAGAGTACTGTGTCCAGTTCTGGGCACCATGCTTCAAGAAGGATGTGGCCTTCAGTATTATTTCTGTTCTTTTTGCTTAGTCTTTAATACTGATATATTTCAGTGGAAACTTGGGCTTTCTGCCCTTTTATTTTGAATTCTCATTCATTCTGAAGTACTTTTTCCCTCAGGTTTGAGGGGTGAGGGATTTTTTGCTCTTATTTTATGTCATTTCCAAGTTGTGTCCTGCTTTTATAGCTATGACACTTCCCTTTTTATCCTTGTGAGTGTGTGCGCATTAGTATAAAGAACAAGTAGGAGCAATCACAGAATATTTTCTTTGGTAGGGGTTGGAAAGGAAGTGGGCAGGGTTGCTATTTTTCCAGTGAGGTGGGGTTTGTTTCCAAATGCTGAGGTATAATAATTTTTGGTTAGCCTTAGGCAGCTGATATTTTATGCCATCTCAGCCATTTATTACCTTCAATCTTTGTCTTCAAAACTCATGTATTCTCCATAATCTATTACATAAACACTCTCACACACACATTCTCCTAA